AGTGTATGTTATGTTGGTAACCAGGTGGTGTAAAGTGTACGTTATGTTAGTAACCAGGTGGTGTAAAGTGTATGTTATGTTGGTAACCAGGTGGTGTAAAGTGTATGTTATGTTAGGTAACCAGGTGGTGTAAAGTATACGTTATTTTAGTAACCAGGTGGTGTAAAGTGTATGTTATGTTGGTAACCAGGTGGTGTAAAGTGTACGTTATGTTAGTAACCAGGTGGTGTAAAGTGTACGTTATGTTAGTAACCAGGTGGTGTAAAGTGTATGTTATGTTGGTAACCAGGTGGAGTAAAGTGTATGTTATTTTAGTAACCAGGTGGTGTAAAGTGTATGTTATTTGGTAACCAGGTGGTGTAAAGTGTATGTTATTTTAGTAACCAGGTGGTGACGTTAGTCAAGAACTAAATTTCATGTAACTTTAATTCCTTAAAACTAAATAAACAATAAAATATTATTAGTACCGTCAAAAAGCGCCGCTGTGTGAAATAAATGTTTTTAAATGAAATATTCTAACATATATCTACAGATATAAAGAATAATCTATATACTGTCTAAAATAACATTTAGAAGCATACCTGGCCCAGTTAGATACTCCAGAACTTTACAGCTTTGATTTATTTGTGCTTTTGCTTATTTTCTAGCTTGGCCGTTTTTTTTTATCGTTATGTTTTTGAACTGATGTAACATATTAATTTTGTTACTTGAATGTAAACATAATACTTTCAGTGTTTGTCTGAAACGTGTAGTGTGTGCTTTAGGTGAGTTGAAAGTGTTTATTTAGTTAAACAAAACAAACGTAACCTTGACCCTGAAAATACTAAAACCTAGATATTTTTCTGCTTTAAACCACTAGGTTTTTACATCCTTTCGGTTCTGAGAAGAGTCCGTGGTTGTGATGATTTTTGTTATTTTCTCTTCTAGCTTAGCTGAACCAATGCCGTGGTTCTCTATATCTAATCATATACATTTCTACTTATCTCGCGTAGCTTATAACCTTTCGTGACAGGTTTTCATTTGTGTCACCGCTAATAGATATTCCACTGCTAGGATATTCCTCACCTTAGAGAAATTACATAAATATAGAATTTATGTTATTTTCAATTAGTTAACGTGAGAAGGAACAGTGAAAATTATATAAATTATTTTGCTGTCTATTAATGAACGAACTATTTATTCTTGGTCCGGCGACTTCATGAATAAGCTGACTAAAACTCCACAAAGGTTTTGAGTTAGCAACGTCTGTTATTATTAGCCTTGAATTTATTTATTATTTATTTATCTTTCCTTGTTTAATTCAGATAGTTATTTTCCTTAAACGCTAGCTCGTCTGCACCCTAGAGTACATTAAACATTAAACCAAAGAGAGAGAGCTGATAAGGGTTAGATTAAATATCTATGAAATTCTGATACGTAAGATAGTTTATTTTCTAAAAGATATTATTAGAAGTGCTCACTTGATGTGTTATTTGTGATTTGGAATTATTTCTCTGGGAATTGTCTAATACTGCTATTGTGAATAATGTGTTGAATCAGGCTCTTATGGTTCTTTTCTCCTGATTCGCTGTTATTGCTATCTCTATTTTATGATTCTAATATTAACACTTTTGCTTTTTTTTCTAATTTTTGGATATTGGTGTTTGTATTTGGAGATTGAGTTGTTTTTTTATGAAGTCATGATCAAGCATTCTTTTATTAGTGTTTACTATTTTGTGTTAAATAAATCTCCTACATTTTCGTACTTTGGTAGAACGTCATTATTTTATGTGTTACAAGACATGAATTATTTTGAACAAAACCCGAGGTTTCAGAACTTGTAGATATTTAAAGACTTGATTTAAAATTTCTAGAGGTGAAACTTTCACACATAACTAAAGAAAAAAAATCAACAAATCTCACGTATGTAAAATCAATGTGTAGCTTGTAATTAAAATCTGAAGCCAATACATCTTGCTACACTTTACGGAAACTAATGAATTAACGAGGAAATGAAAACACACATACATATTATCCGAGATCATTTCAGTCTCAACATCTCCTAGTTGATAAAGAGGAACGTAATTAGTGATGTTCTGACACGTAATATCGAACTACATGTATGGACTGAATTCGTTATCTTCCTTCTTGTTATGCCTCTCCAATGAGGAGAGCTGGTAGTCGCGAGAAGAGTCTGTAATTTTGTTGATGGTAGCCAACTGATGTGCTAGACAGAAATAATTCAACCCTCAAATTCCAATACTTCTGTTCTCCTTAATCGTAAGAGGAAATGCGATGAAATACGTGTTATGTTTACAGTAAACACTCTGTCAACTGCCATTATTAATATTTCATACTTCGACGATGTTTTATATTTCTAGAGATACCGATTTATTTTCCTGAAAGGTTTTGAAGGACCTTATCGTCTGTTTTGATTGGGTGAACGACTGAGATTTCGCCTTCAAACAACTTTCAAAATAAATTAATGAAACTCCGTTACAATCTTTCAGGCGAAACACATTCCACTTTTAAACCTGTAATATTACTTATTGTTTTTCTATTACTATAAATAATTTCTTAATGCGATATAAAGATTATTCAGGTGAAAACGCATATTTTAGAATTTAGAGTTTATAATTGTACTGTCTAATAAGAGAGCTATCAATCAACGAATATAACATATTTTTAAAAAATAAACAATTCATCTGAATGCATAAACCAATGACACAACATGCGACATACTTTTTTAAGTAAATAGACAAAGCAAACAACATAACTAACTATTTTACGTAAACAAAAAAAAGCAAAAAGCACGACCTTGTGCATCCAATGATACTAAAGAGAATAGAAGAAAAAGAAAAAAAAACGTGTTCACAACAGTATAATTTCACCAAAAGTACGTGGGGTATTTTTAATTTGGATTTTATTTTCTAGAGGGCGTGCTAATATCTCGATTTTAAACGATGAATATTTGATTATTTAAAAAAGAATCATTTTGCTCCTTTAAGTTTCATAAATTAAAGCATTTTCAGTGGTTTTTACATAATATTAGTTACATTTTATTCTTTGAATTTTTACAATGATAATCATTACGTATCGTTGAAGTATTTTTCTTGAGTTGAGTTGAAAAGTCTTATCCATCTGAGTAAATATATAGACATCCTGTGTAAAGTAATGTGGATCGACACTAAATCAGCACGCTCTGCCTTTCCACACACACAAAACAGCTACGCTTGAATTTGTTATAAATATTAAAAGCAAGGTGAACTCAATTTACCCGAACTGTGGAAGTTTACAAAATATATAAACACTATTCTAGCCAACATATAAAGCCAAAATCCTGTTTAAGGATTCTTGAAAGAGTTGTTTATTCATTCATCCAAAATTTAGTAAATATGGTTCTTCTGAAACAAAAAGTTTTACTTATAAAGGGTGAGCCAAGTTAGCATATCAGATTCAGTATAAGTTCATGAAGACTGTTGCATTGAAACATAATATCACCTAACAGGTCAAGACTGGTGCCTGAATACTTGTTCAGCACTTTCAGCTTATTATCGGGATTAGAATGACACCAGTTGTCAAAAATGAACTTAATAATAGTTATTTTAGTTGGTGAGGGAAACATATCTTTAGGCAAATGTAAAGATATATGAGATATGGTTACTTAAATGTTTTCACTCACTAGTAACACTTGTCCTCCTTCGCCTGCCCAATTTTTTTATTTTTTTTGTAGACTTTGTAAGCGAGAAAATCCTTTAAGACAAGGTGATAGTTGTTAATTAAAATGTTAACATTATTAATTACTTGAACAATTCATTTAGGCGAATAAAGACAAACCAGTTGTTGAGGTTGCCTAATGGACTTTTAATTATCCTCGATCTAGCCTCCCTCACCATACACAATATTGTAAATATGTAGCTGGTTTTAAATGATATATATGTTCTAATACCTGATAATTGGTTTTATATATCATATGAGGTATTTGTATGGATCCCAATTTTTCTGAAATGTTAACAACAGATGTTTTAGCCAGGTAAAATAAAGTGATTTGTCCTTATTCTATCACTGTACATGCTGAAGTTTGAACGATTGTTAGGATAATTATACACATTATTTCTATTATTCGAACATGCCAGTAAAGACCATTATTAGACAAATACATTTTTATTTTGATGTTAAACAAATAAATAATATTTTAACTTTACACAGCCAATTATGTTTAAAAAAATATACATGGCACTAAGAATATCTTAATTTGAAGAACGATTGAAATATGCACTCTAGAATTGGCTTCTATTTAAATCAGTATCCCTTTTTTTAAAGAAAAATAGTAGATTTCATTATTGAATTTATAATAATAGTTAGTAATAATGAACTTTTAACCTATAAAGAAATTAAGCCATATATTTACTTTAATGTATACTAATACTCAAAGTCATTTTAAAACTCAGGTTATTATAAAAGTTGATATTTGAATCACTTAAAAGATATAATTTTATATGTTAATGAAGTTTATTTTTCCATTTAACATGTGTAGATGCAGATGTTGATATTTGTTTCTTGCATTCAAAGGTTATGTTAAGATTTTAGAACATTTATTTCGTGTCTCTCGAAAGAATCTATAAAACTCATCTTTTGTCATTCAAAATATAGACTTTATTAAAATCATATTCTGTCACTTAAAAGGTGTCAGTTTAAATTTTAAGAGGTTAATTATTTCCATTTAAAAATGTAATCTTAATTTTCCCTAAATTTTTTAGTTTTCAAATATACATATTTACATTTTAATAAGTGTCTTTCTTTTCACTTAAAAATATATATCTTTTACTTTTAATGAAATAATTTCTTCTAAAACTTTAAATACATTCGTTTTCTAAAGTTTGGATCTCTTTAAGCAATTCCTTATTTCTTTAAAAAGTGCATAAGTTCAAAGAGAATTTATATAAAATATATTTCTTGTCATTTCAAAGATGTACAAATTCAAATTTCAATAAATGTGTCATCTTTTTTTTGTGATATAAAAGACGCATTCCTCACAAACTTATGAATAATCAACAACCATTATTTGAGTAGTCCATTTACTTTTAATGGGTGGTTGCTATGCATTGAAACATGAACCATTTTCTATTTTATTGGCTGATCGGAATCGGAATCGTTGGGAGTATCACTCATTACGTTAATATTTTCGGTCTCAGTTGTCAAGGGATAGCGATGATACATCATTGACCCACTTTCCGTGAAGTCACTAACAGTATTTCCACTACCTTCTAGTATCCATTTGGTCGTTAGGAGTCCCTCAAGGCCCACAGATCCTCTAGCATGTATCTGGGCCGAACTTATCCCGATATCTGACCCTGGTGGACAAAATCAAATTAATTAATTTTGTCATGAAGCAGTTATGAATATTTGTAATACAAGTAAACCAAAACAGAACATATAATTTAGTGAAAAAAATTAGCATTAGTTGTTAGCAATTATTAAAAACATAATTTTCTAAGTTATTTACTTCCGTATACAGTAGAAGAAAAACAATGAGTTCAGTTGAATCAATTAATATGAACAAGAAAGGCATTTCGAGAGTGCTACCCCTGCCTTGCAATGTTCCTCATATCCAGTAACCTACCTCAAACACACACTAAATAATTCCTTACCCTAAGAAATGTAGGTCTAGGTGCCAAAATCCTCTTTCTATCTCAATTTGTATTGGAGGTTTGTCCCCATTGAAAGTTATTGACCTTCAGTGTAGCCTACAACTTTGAACTACATTCACCAATATTGATAATTTTCTCCAAATATGATCAAAATCAGATGAACTTAATTTCAGTTATGTGGTTGAGCTTCAGTATGACCTTGACCTTTGGCTTTATCAAAAGTTAAACAGTTAATCTTTGGATGACATTTAATCGTTTTACCAAATTTGATCAAAATAAGATAAACACCTAAAAAAAGAAAGACGGCAGACTTTCGAAACGTTGTCCTCTAAATTTGTGTGTTTTTTTTTACAACAGACAGTTACCACCCATTCTAGTTCACTCATCAAGATAAACACGTTTTGAGCTATTCTGTTCTCCCACATATAGGGGTGAAAATTATATCCCCAGCCGGCGGGCGAGGGGTAATTATTATATCAGTACAAGCTACACTAGAGTTCTTAAAACGAAAAGTAGTTATAATGCACGCCAGTCGAGTATTAAGATATTTTATTCTGTAATCCCATGGACTTCTTACAAGGTTAAGTAAGCTTGAAACTAAGAGTTGAGGCTTAGATTCATATACCACTTTAATTTAATAATTATTTAAGTTCTTAAACTTCTTCCATCAGTTGCTCAACAGAAACCTCGACATCTTCTTATGCTAAAACTCGTGGTTCGGTCGTTGCAGTAAACGTACCACAGATAGGGCAGTTTTGGGTTTAAACAAAATTCTGGTGTGCGAATATATTATAGTTTTAAAATATTTAACCAATAGCAATACCAAATGTCTAATATTTAGACATGCAATAAGTTACTGATACCGTGGATGTTTATCCATTATAACTACGACCGTCGAACAGTTGAAAAATACAGATAATTTACTTATTGGCATAAACACAACAACACACGCCCTCTGATCTTCTATCCAGTAAATGATATCGTATGTGTTGCTATTTCAAGGAACTCGGTGCATCACACGCACCTAATCACACTAAACACTTTGAAGTTTACATTGTCTCAATATGCTATATACTTTTCTTAGAGTTCAACAAAAACACACCTGTATGCGAAAAATATACAAACATTTTTGACTTAAAACTGCGGTCCCCCGGTGGGACAGCTGTAAGTCTACGGACTTATAACTCTAAAATCCGGGGTTTCTGATCGTTGGAGCTCATTATCCCATATGCTGACTGACATCTGCTCATGCAGAAGTTGAGTATTTGTACTAAATAGCATCCAGGCTGATGATGGCTAATCTACATATAATTAATAATGAAAATATATTCAATTCAAAAGTAGCTAAGTTATTGAAACATGAAATTCAATAATCAGTTGTTAAAGGTAGAGATACTAGTATACCTAAACATTTATACACATTTCTTTTCAAATGGCAGCCGATAAATAAATCAGAAATTATATTAAATGTTGTTTAGTAGGCTTAACCAAATCCTAAGTAGGTGTTTTCCCTTACCCAAACCGAAACCATATCCGTCAGAAAAGCGAGTGCTGCAGTTTTTAAACGTCCACACACTCTCTACTTGCTGAATGAAATGTTGTGCTGCTTCCTCTGTTAAATTAAGAAAGAAAACATAAACCAACTCAGTCTGAAACTCTTTAAAAAATTTAGCTGATCTGGTACTATACAAGATATAAAAGCGTTGATATAGTTATTTCTTATATTTACTAACAGCTAAGTTCTGCTACGAAAATGTTCAAACAGTATATTTAAAACTGTCTGTAGTTTCGGCGAAGTAAGAAAATTTACATACATTAACAAAGAAGGAGTATAAATAAAGAAGTAGGTTATCAGATCAGAGATACCTGATAATAAGGAACGTGACAACTGAAAAATAAAACTGATTGGAACAGAAATAGCCAGGGTGAATAAGACGACAACAAAAGGTTAAGATAGACGGATGAGGCCAGATATAAGAAACATAATGGACAATTACAACACGCAGATATATAGCATGTAACAAAACTGTGCACTTTGTGTGATTTTAGATTTTGTGTTAAATTTAAAGTAGAAGGCCGAAATGGTTTGTACTCGCGTCGTAAAGTGTCCGGTATGAAAGGCCAATATCTCGAACACTTGTGAATTTTAAATGTCAGATATTAATTGAATGCTGTATGATTTGTAGTAGACCTCTATTTTTGCTATACTCTGTACAAACAAAGAGTCGAGATATGTCAGTGAGAGTTAAAGATGCAGATAATTAAAGTAGACAGTTAGCATACCAAAGCACATTAGGTACATAAAGATAGACATCGTGAAAGTTTTTTTTTTAAATAATCTAAATTTTCACACTATCTCTCATCCTACTTCTTAGACAGACAAATAAGATGCTAGAGTTAGGTAAGAATACTCACGTACTTGAGAAGCCAGGCAGACAGATTATCAGTTGAAATAAAGATTACATTAACACAGGCAAGTTAGTAAAAAGTAAGTAGCATTAAAAAACAGAAACAAAAAGGAAGACGAGAGATAAACAAAGGTAGACAACGTATCTGGTATATATATAAATATAAACAAAGGTAGACAACGTATCTGGTATATATATAAATATAAACAAAGGTAGACAACGTATCTGGTATATATATATAAATATTCATATTCAGACAGAGATATCGATTTAGTAATAAGCACATGATATTTAAATAAGCAGAAAGAAATAGAACAAGACAGGGAGTGAATGGTCTAGTTTTTATGATTTTCTCCCTTAATTTACTTACAATTACTCTTCTTTCCTTTCAAGACAACTTTTACTACAGATGAAATAATACAAAACAGAACCTCTCAAATTTTAGTTAATATGTACATCCATGAAATGATTTAGATTATAACAAAGATATAGATACAAAATAATTAATAATCAGTATTCATATAACCCAAAAACAAGCTAGAAAGAGAGAGGAAATATCATGCAACATAAGCAGGTTAAAACTGAAATATATATGGAGATATTACCAACTAAAGAATGCACACACAAACTAGAAAATTAAGACATAAGTACGTGCAGAAAACACTAGCTAGACCATTCATATTAAAACCTAAAACATAAGCAGACATGAAAACAATAGCCATGTGTTACATAGATAAATAAAAATATTAATTACAAACATATGTTAAATATTCTACAAGATGGCAATCTCCTGAATTTGTTTAAACATAAAATCATTTCGATCTGTCCTTGCAAAATTGACGGCCAAAATATCAGGTGCTAAAAACACTTACTGTCTTCAGTAATAATAACATCAGTGTGTCCACTTCCATAAATGTTTATATGTTCAATTGCATCCTGGACACTGTCCACTACCTCTATGGTACAAGCCAGTCCTCCATGCTCAATTTTCATTGACTTGGCAAGGGGAGGACCAAAAGTTAATAGATTGAAAAGTCGTGGGCCAGAGTAAATTTTTACCTAAAATGAAAAGGGATCTAGAGAAACAATACAAATATATAAAAGAACATTATGTATCTTCAATCGCTCATGTTCAAAAGTATTCTGCTTATTGAATGAGTAAAAACTAATGAATCTGTATCAAGATTCCATACTGAATTTTGAATTAAACTAAAGTTTTGTAATTGGTGTTACCGTGTCTTCAGAAAATTATTAATATCTTAAAAGTTTTGAAAGATATGTAATTTCAAAAAAAAAATAGGTGAAAGAAACAATATCAAACCTGATCATTAGATAATAATTTCTTGTCCTTACCCCTTCATTTTTTAAGGTTTGGCAAACTTCTTCAAAGAACTTCTGAGTCACTAAATCCTTATGAAATAGTAATGTTTCCATGGAGTTACTTGCAGCGGGATAGTCACATTTAGAATCTCGAACTATGAAAAAAAAAAGAGTTGTATCTTGTGTCAAAGGAACAGAGAAACATCAATAATGAAGAGCAATGTAGTCGAAGCAGCTTTTGTCGTGAACAAATAAACAAAACTAGAAAAACGTCCAATAAACTTTTTCACAGCTAAGAGGTCAGGAAATATTTAATGCACTTCGGTGATAATTATATTAAAGTCATAGATTAAGTGTAAACAGTAATTTTGTGAAACACAAATATATTTCTTAGATTAATTTAAATAAGTATTAGTATACCCCTAGAATAATTTTATGGGACACAGAAATATTTTCTGAGCTTACTTCATCGTACACCAATAAATCTACTAAATAAAATTCACGGAACACCAAAATATTCTCTAGAAGGGTTAACTTTAAAGGATACCAGTAAACCATAAAAATTAACTTCATGGAACACATTAGTATACACTTAGTAACTTTTATGATGCATTATCAAACAACTAATACGGAATTTATTGTTCATCAGTATATGCCCTAGGTACCTTCATGGAGTATAATCAAATCCACTAAGTTCACATCATGGGGCATTAATACATCTTCTCAGTTAACACTGGGAGTAAAACATGGTCTTCTTTTAAGGTACCTTCATGAGACACTGGCATATCCTCTAGCTGAACTTTATAAGGCATTATTAAGTGAACTAAGTTAACTCCATGAGGTATTAGTATGTTCCATAAGATAGCTTCAAGGGGCATTAGTAAACACTATAGGCCATATTCATGAAACAATAAGTTTCTCTCACAGGACAACTTTTAGAAGACCTTCATGATATACTTAAGTTGTTTCTGATAAACTTCATGATATACTTAAGTTGTTCCTGATAAACTTCAATAGAAGAACTTAAATTTTTCAGAATAACTAATACCAAATAGTACACAAACAATATATATATATATATATATAACAAAACCAATAATAAAATACGAAAAAACATAAAGAATGACAATAGCTAACGTATATATTCCAAAAGAAAATTTCGCGAACCAACAATAAAAGTTTCTAAATACGCTGATTTCTTAGTGTAAATCAAATCCGAATACAAATGCTAACCCAAAGTTATGGTGAAATTTATAGTTCTTTGTTACACGACAAAAAATTTACTTTTATGAATAATTCTAAAACAAGCCTAGATAAGAAATATGTGTTTTCAGTTTAAGAGTTTTTATTTATACTCTGGATGATACATTGCAAAGGAGGAGTTTTATTATGATTGCATGACCTACTGCAAAGCAGTCAATATTGAATGCGGTTTGAATAATGCTAACGTGATTTTATAACAGAACCGCTGAAAACGTTTTCCAATATTTCGTTCTCTAACGTTTTGCCAGGAAAAAAAAAGATCAAAGTTGATCTTTTTATGATATTCGTATAACTTTGTTTCGCGTACGCATGGGAAAAGATTTAAAGTTTTAACCTGAAAGAGCTAAGAAAATGTTCTTTCAACAAGTTTTTCCTTAACTTTCACCTCTTAGTGCAGAAAAAAAGCATAAAATGTTATAATTAAGAGTATAAAGTTATGTTACCGCACTTTAGTTTCACGCTTAGTTTTCATTTTTCAAAATATAGTAAAAATTCAGAGTTGTATATTATAAGTTCTAGTCTGTTTTTAAGCAAAGAGATATATTATTAATGCAAAAACCATCATAGTTAGAGTACATGCAGTTATATCTTCAATATGTAGGTCTCAAAACTTGAATATGTTGAATTGAGACTGAGTATATTCAGATTAGACAATTTATTAAATAATTGTAGACCAGATATATTTATTTTAGGTTATCATTACAACACTTTTCCTTTGCACAAATAATTTCAATTATCAACACAAAAAAAAAAAAAACGACTAAAGGCCGTGCGTATTAGATCGCGCGTGGCGAAGTTATTAGCGTATCAGGCTGCAGTACAGAAAGTCGAGGGTTTGAGCACTGATGCTGTTGAACACGCTTCGCACTTTTATATGTTGTCATGATATTCGGTTCCAAGAGCTGGTTGGGGTGACAAATATCAATATCACACCGAAAAATTAAGGCAAAAGTATTAACATAAAATCCCAAGAATTGAAAATGATAAAGTTAGGGCCCCCCCCCCCTCCCCCAGTGGCACAGCGGT